CCGGACTGAGGCCTCCCGCAGCGCCGCCGCCGACAAGGAGCAAGGGGTGGGGGGCGGCCCGGAGGATGAAGGCCGCCGGGACGAGCCCGGCGACGACGAGAAAGGCGACTCCAAGGAAACGCGGCTCACCCTCATGGAAGAGGTGCTGCTCCTGGGCCTCAAGGACCGTGAGGTGCGGCCGGGGCCGCGGCGGCGGGGCTGGGGCGGGCCGAGGTGAGGGGCGCTGGGCAGGGGGTGCCTGAGGGGACACCGGTTATTCGGGGACTTATGGAGGTCGTTGATGGGGAAGGGGAGCCGAAGTGGCGCTAGGGTGCGGGTGGGATGGGGGCAAGGACGCTGTTGGGTGAGTATTGTTGTGGGTTTGGGGCAGAGGCGTTGCTGGGGACGGGGACTGTGATGTTGCTAGGGGTAGGGGCGCATGCTGGAACAGGCTCGGGATTTTGGAGGAGGTGAGGAAGATGCTTGGATGTTGGGCAAGAGGGAACCTCGCAGAGATTTCGGATCGCCCTTTGGATGCAGGCTTCGCAGAGGGGCTCTAAGGTAGTATCTCAAGGAAGGCAGCGTAGGGCTTGGGGGAAGACGGGGACCTGGAGCCTCTGACAGTGTTGGTGGTTGACTTGGAGGCCCTGGTTAGACCCGTGATATTTATACTCCTGTACTTACCCATAGCTCTAATGTGGGAGCCTTGTCTACTCCTATGTATTTTGTCAGACACAACTATATGGTACTTATGGGTTTTTCAGGTGCTTTAGGATGCTTAGCAGCCCTTTTTAATAAGACTTTCCAGACTAACACATGTTAAAAATGTCTTTGTGGAGATACATGACAAAAATGGGCCTTGAATAATGAGAAGTGTGTCAAAATGAGGAAATGGTGTTATTATGTAATTCTGTGGTTTTACTCAATTTATAGCTTAATTGGGTGTCATGATACTGTGAATAACAGTCATTGAGGAAGGTATACTTCTACCAGTGTGCTGGATTTTTTGTTTCATTTGAGAAAGGTAATCAACATAAAAAGCACGCACACTGCAGAGAGTCAGTCCTGTCAGTTTAGTTTGATGTTGTGTATGGTGAAGTATAACGTGAGTTTATTTTAGATGTGAGTTATAATATGAATTTAATTAAGCAACCTGCCTTTTTTTTTAGTGATAAGTAAACAAATGAAACCAGTTTATTGATTTGGGTGGAAGTCTCTTAATACTGTGCGTGTTCATGAGCACAGAATAATGGGGGGGGAAAGCTGCTAAGTTATATGTTCTTTGACTATATGTTGCATCTAAAATAAATTTGCTGGTTGATAACGAATAGGTTAAAGAGTAGTTTTCCTAGTTAACATTTGTTTTTTAATGCGTGTAGGTATATCTGTATATATACCTGCCACAATAACATATTTTATTTCTCTCTCTCAGATTGTGAATTTTGGGCCATATTCTTGTAATCCCATTTTTTTTCAGATGGACCTTGCCATGGCATCCTAATACAGTCAGTAGATATTCAGAGTGTTGTGTTCTTCCACCTGTTGAATCTGAAGACTTGTGCATATGTGTGTTTCTCTTTCTACACGCCTGAATAGTTGCAAGAAAGTAAGTTAGGTGTGACAAGACAGAAGGTGGGATAGACTGGGTGATCTTTCAGCCCTTTTTTTTTTTCCCATGATTGTGTGCTAAATCTTCTGAATTTGTGGGCGTTAGGCTGTAAAGATTTCAAGGCAGGGAACGTTCTGTCTGCCTAGAAAGAATATACGGTGCAAGTATTCCTAGTTATATCAAAAGTTAATAATTAACATTGGGCCTAAAAATCCAGCTTTGCACCGGTGTGCATCAAAATTGTAAATCATCTTAACTTTGCTAAGTGCAGCAGTGGCACACACTGCAGATAATCTAATATTTCTTTGTATGGAAAAAGGAGCTAAGTGATTACAATGGCACAGATATTCATGACTCCCTTGAGATTTTGCAGTTGAGATGTCAGACAAAAAGGATGATAATGTCATCTCTAGGGTAGGGGGCTTATGTGCACAAACTGCAGCATACACCGTTTCTGAGCTTTGTTAGACATGAATCACTAGGGTTTGTATTTTGGTTTTGTGTCTGCTTGTAACCTTCTCTCTTACACTATGTAAACCACTTTGTCTCCACGGTTTTTCCCCTTTTAAAACTGAAAATAAAACTATAGATTTATTTTCAAATATGATTTCTTTTTTTGTTCTCTATTGTTCTAATTATAAACAAAACTTAGGTACTTTATGCATCTGGAAATGCTTTTTATAAAGTTTTTACTTCCAATAGAATTGATTTCCCGTGACATTTGTGTGAAATTTTGTCATGACAGCAAGCAGTGAAAAGCAATATAGGGTCTGTAAAGTATAATTGTGAAACTACACAAAGTGTAAGGGAAAGGCAAAGGCAGGTATGTGAGCTATAAGCTCAATTGAAAGCCAGTAAATTTAAAGCTGATAACATCCTTCCTTTTTATTGCAACAGGATAAAATAATTTAGTGTTGATTTTAAAATAAATAAATAAAATAAAGGAATCTGAATTGGCCTAAGAACATGTTTCCCTAGAAATAGCTTCTTTCTCAGAAAAGTCACTGATAACTGCATTGATAACTTAGCTTTGAGGGTTTTTTTTGGGTAATTTTATTTCTAATATTAAACACTGGTGAATATGGCTTAACATTATGTAAATTGTATAAAAAAAAAAGAAAAAAGAAAAGCTTCACATGTAAGGAGCTACCATCTATAATTTTTAAGTGTAGATGGCAGAACCTTTACTCATAGGAGAGAGTTTTCCAGGAAGATTCAGACAGTGATGGATTGACGAGTTTAATGTTTCTAGGAGATTGTTAGATATTTATGTGAATCCTGCTTTCAGGATAGCACAATGATTGTAACAACCACAGCAAAACTTTTGAGTTGTTGCCTGGTTGTTGCTGTAGTATGGGTTCAGTGATGGGAATGTCCAGCTGCCCTAAAACAAACACAGCATGCCTCAATCCCATTCTTAATGCTTGAACACAAAATTAACTGCATTTGCACATGCTTCCTAGACACGGTCTTTTTTTTTTTTTTTTTTCCCCGTTTGGCCTAATTAAAATGTAGTTTATGTACATGGATTGGTTGCTCTTTTTTCTACCAATGGTTCCTCTTCCGTTTGTATCTTCTGTGTATATGTAACTATTTCTGTATTCCAAGGTCAAGATACGTTTTAAGTGGTATGTGTTGAAATATGTGCATGCTTGCATAACATGACAGATGCAGTGTCCTTGGAGGAGCAGGTAATATACTGGAACAAAAGGAGCATCACAAGAACACCTACAACTTATTTGGAAACCCTTCAGAAACATGACTGGGAAAGGGAATCATGTTCATCCATTTAGAATAGAGCAATAGCCTGTTGCTATGGGAATAAAAAATACTTACCAAAATAAAATACTTTGCTGTATTAGGTTAAAAATAGTATTGCAATAGAATAGGTCAAAGCCACAGCAAAAGGGAGGTTATTCTGTAGAACTACTGAAGCATCTGAGGTCATCACTCCCAAAAGAAGGGTGTGATAAATATTAAGTTAGCTTATTTAAAAATGACAGCTAAGAGATGAGTACAGGCCAGTTTGTTTATTACAGCTCTTCCAGACATCTTGTAGCTCAGTCCCATAGAAAACTGAGAGGCTGCTAGGTGGCTGTGCTCTTTAACTGTCGCTCCATTTAAGTTTTTTGTACATATAGGGGTGTTTATGGTTTTTATGGGGTTTTTTGTGTTTTTTTTTTTTTTTCCTTTTTGGAGTTCTCCTGGTACAAATTGTGAATCTATTAAAATACAGCAATGCACACAGCTGCTCCTATCCTCTATACAATGTACCACATCTAAACAAATTGAAGCAGCTATAGAGACACGGCACCTACTTCTGTAGTTCAGATAATTATATTTAGTAAGAAAAAATACTTATTTGATCTGTAAGTAATTCCTTATTTGCTGAAAGAAAACTCACATGAAGTATGCTGAAATAATTGTCATGTACTGCAGTATGCTGCAACAGTAAATATTTCTGGTTTTATTTACACTTTTGTTGGTGAAGACTAAAATGTCATTTGTGAGGGTGAAGTAATGTTAAATCACTTTGTTAGGTACAGAAATTCTCTTGGATCTTTGTTACTTGTATTTGACTTTCAGAAACTTAATTTATTGCTGAAGATTTAGTGTTACAGCTTTTTGTCCAAATAGTTCATGTGAAGGTCTCCAGCTTATGATACTTTTCATTGTATTGAAATAAGTTATTAGAGAGCCAGTTTGCCTGCTTCAGATTTTGGGCTCTTTGGAGGATGACGTGCTGATTTGGAAGCAGCACTTTGGATACAAGTTGACATTGTGTTGAAATGGTGTTTATGTTTCGTGGTTCTGCATGCAGCTAGTGTGGTTATCCCTGTTCTTACAGCATGGCTAATCTGTAATCTATATTATTTATTCATGGATAACTTCCAGTGTAGTGTAGTCCTTTCTTTCATGTCAAGCTGTCTAGTGTAGGACAAAGGCAAAAACATTGTTAAAGCCTTTCTAGTGATACTTCTTGGTTTTTCTAAGTGCTCTTAAAAAACAAAGCTGTAAATCTTTTTCCTCTCCTATAGCAAGCTGTTTTTATTAAAAATTTTGCATGAAGTATATCTGAAAAAGTATTGCTGTTAATTGCTAGAAGGGAAGTAATCATGGAACTGAAAACTAACTTTTTACGTTAAAGAAAAAGTGGTATTATTTCAGGTGTTCTTTGATACTAAAGTAGTTCAAGTACTGCAGCATTTATCTCAGTTAGCTAAGCTACATGTATGGTGCCGCCTTAGCAGTGCTAAATTGACCAGGCTACAGACAATATATTCAAGAATGACTTTCCTACTCACAGAGCAAATAATTACTACAGCACATATTCACTTCTGTGTTGCATTACTGGGGGAATTGTAGAATGGCTTCAGTTGGAAGGGACCTCCAAAAGTCATCTAGTCCAACTCCTGCTGCAATGAATGGGGACATCTTCAACTAGATCAGGTTGCTCAGAGCCCTGTCCAGCCTGATCTTGAATGTTTCCAGGGATGGGGCATCTATCACCTCTCTGGGCAACCTGTTCCAGTGTTTCACCACCGTCATCGTAAAAAATTTCTTCCTTATATCTAGTCTGAATC